CCCCGTTAGTAGGGAGTAAACGAACGGCCTCGAAACTGAAAGCGTGAAAGGTGTCCTGAAACCCGCTTGGAGTGTCTTGGAGTAAGCTGGCCGTGGACCGCGGATGGCTTGTTTACTTTAGATCCGTGCAAATACCATAACCTTTTTTGGATAAGAAAATCTCTGTTAATGCAACTTAAACAAAACTCAGGGGTAGAAATGCTAATTTCCTTGTTTACTTACGTTGCACTTCCCTTTCCGTGAACAGGAGGAAAGCTCGTGCTTTAAAAGGTGATTGTAAGTCATGCTTTGTACAGGGTTTTGCTGGATTATTTGCTCTGTTCTGAATTTGTATTATGCTGCCATTAGATCTTACAATAATGTTCTACTCTGCAAATTTTTAAGGTTCAAATAAAGTTTAATTGTTTGCAAACTGTTATGATGCTAATAATTCAACAGCCTGCTGTGTTACTAATGAAATTACTTTGTTATGATTAATTTGGAAAATAGTGTGTTGATTGTAGTAATTAAGCACAACAAGGTGAAGTAAATGATTCTAATGCCATCTGGCCTCCAGACTGAATGAAGAAATGAAATGGGGCTGTCATTTGAATTTATTCAGAGAAGTAAGGGTAATACAAATGCTTTTTATAGGAGAGCCGCCCGGATATAATCACGCCACTCTCTGGTAATTTTTCGTGTACTTCTATGTACAGATAAGTGGTTCACATATTTTTCCAGCATCTAGGTAGGATATACCTCTTTGTGCACACTGCCACTAATTGCATGTACTGATGGTAGTGTACACACCGGTTCTTCCATCGGAGAGGGGTATGGATAGGATTTAGAGAAGTGATGCTCATTGGCTTACCTTTTCCTTCTCTGTGAGTGGTAAAAACTTTCTTGGACTGGAATTAAGCTGAATGTGAATGCTAAGTAAGATCCCGTTCTATATTGAAAGCCAAACGCATAAACTTTGTTGTTTTTGGCTCTGCGGTCTGGATATGGCACAGTATTAGAAGGAACGTAAAGAGTAACCCTTCAGAACCTGATCCAAAGACTCTTGAAACCGGGAAGCCATTGAATTTGCTAGCTTCTGCATCGGGCTCTCAGAACAGTAACTCAAAAACAGGCAATACACTTTCAAAGTGCCTTTTGCTGAATACTGTTTGTCCTCTTTCTGAAAGAGATGCAACTATTTCCATAAGCTGAACTGAACAAAAAAAAGGCACCGACTTCTCTATAGCCAAATGATAGAAATCCATTTTTCTATCTCAGGTAAAGCAAAATGAAGTTGTGGCTGTAGGTCAGAGCCCTGGCTTGATAAAGTTCACTGGGATCTGTAGGAAAGCAGTAAAATATCAAAACGTGTGATGAAAGTACTCAGGTAGATGACAATGGCGTGCTCTTCAGCTGCATGAGCCATTTGATATTTCTCTCATCTCTCCCCTTCCAGTTGATGAAAAATTTATTAGTAGGTAACTGTGGGAATAAGTGTATGCATGGAAACCTTATAAACAACTTTCCACTTTGCATAGCACAACATACTGATAAACTGTAAGACCTTCACTTACCAGGGTTTCTTTGAAGTTGACATTTCTCAGACAAGTGTCTGCTTAATTCTATCTTTATTTAGAAAAACTGACACCGAGCTCAGTGAAGAGTGCTCTGCCAAATCTGTGTCTCTGTTTCAGAGTTCATTTCCTGCCCAGCATCCCGTGTCGTACTGCAAGGGACCAGCACCAACCAACCTCAAACTGTGGACTTAAAATCGTGGATTCAGGATGGATGTAAGCATGGTATTTCATGCTTCTGGGATGAAACTGTGACTTGGCTGGTCTCTCTTTGCTACGGGAAGAAGTAAAGGGGGGCCAAGGTGGTAACAAGACGTGCAGGTCAAAGGGATGCCGCCTTTCTTGGCCAACTGTGTTGTGCCAAGGAATATACATGTATTTTCCCTTTAAATTGTAAAGCAGGTCAGGCAGTGATAAGCCACAGATTGTTGTATCATAGCCTTTTATGGATTTGTTTAGGAGCGATTTTGTAATGGGATCTGGACAATTCTGTGTCTGCTGCCTGGAATTTTTCTTAGTCCAAACTACCACACAGAGAAATTCACAGGGATCTGGGTTCAAAGCAAAGTAGAGGAAAAACCTCTGCACCTGGAAGCTATGCCAGCGTGAGTCAAATTTAAAACTGGAAATGTCAGCTTCTTCCCAGCCTTTTGGGAGGAACAAGTCTTTTAATTAACAGGAAAAACTAAAAAAATCCAAGGTGTCATCTTGTAGCAATGTGTAGGACAATAAAGTACAACAGTGCAGACAGTCTGAGAAGAAGAGCTGCTGGTAGATGAAGAGGCAGATAGCTTCAAATGCCACTAAAAAGCAATCTATCTCTATTAATTTTCTGGTGTAGCAAACTGATGTGTTGGAGCTTTTATCATAAAGTAGCCCCAGTGTCTCACAACCCATAGAACAAACTTCCTCACACCCTCTGTTTTAAAGCAAGTGCTACTCCATAAAGATATTTGATGGCTAATGAGCATTTTACAGCAAGACTTTAAAGTTTATGCTGTGAGATGAAAAAAAAAAAATCCATATTCAGTTACAGTGGGAGGATTTATGCCGGCGGAATAAAATTACCAGTTTGGCCACTTCCAGTCTGCTGTAATTACTTGCATACTCGCTAACAGTGCTGTGGGATTTTTAACAGCCACAGACAATCAGGATTTTAGTTTTACACCTCGTGCTACAAGACAGGATAGGTAGCACCGCAGAACTGACCCCCGTGCAGAACTGCCTGGGTTAAAGGGGAAAATAAGTATTACACCGATTCGTTATCAATCTTTCAAACGCCAGCAGCATGGAAGTGTGCCTTGGCAGTCTCCCACCCAAGAGCTGATATGGCCCAATGCTGCTTTTTAATAGTCAAATCTAATAGGGTCAGGATGGGAAGAGGAGGGCGCAGACAGTCTGACAGGCATGGGCAACTCGGTTTATTCACTGGCGGTCTTCAGCCTCCGAGACTTATTTCAGTCTGGACAGGAAAAGATGAAATCTGTGAACAGTCATGTGGCATCAGGGAAGCAGAGGGACCTTCTTCCCTTTCTGCTGCTCTCTTCCGAGAGGACTGCCATTCTTTCCTTATATTTAAATTAAAAGCAGCCAGGCGTGAATGCACACGTATGTGTGGGGAGGAGTGGGTTTTATTATATAGTCACTTGCAAACAAGTTTTGATGCTGGTTTCTCCTTTCTAAAAGGTGTTTACGTCTGCATGCTCATAATAGCCACACTACCTTTACTATATAAAAATGGTACTTATAACTTTTTAAAAAATTATATTTCCAGTTGTTTAAAGGCTCTAATATAGTAACTTCTCTCTTGTCCTGTTTTTCCCATTGTGATA